TTCTTTGCCATATTTTTGGCTTCAAAAATATCTTGATTTTATCTTGAATTGGCTGACCATTCTACTTGTGATATTACTCCAAAGTTATCTATCAACATGGAAACTTATCCTTATCTGGTAAGTAGCCAAATACCACATATTTTATTATATACATTTATACTGTATAAAAACAATCAACAGTCAAAACTCTGGCTGCAGGCATTATATTGCCAATTAACAATATCACAAGAAACTAATGTTCTCAGGAGATATTGAATTAAATCCTGGTCCTGTATTTCTGTAACTCTGTTCAAAACAACAGTCCAACTAAGTTGTCATCAAATGTAGTGTTAGAGCAAAGGTAAAGATGTCATCAGTTAAATTATACTTACACATTTTGGTTTCAATCAATCATATATTTATTTCCCATGTGTACAATATATTGTAAGTAACAAAACTATGTGTAGTTTGAAGGCGATGGGCTAGAGACCTACTGCAAACCTTTACAGGCTTTTTAATGTAGGCCACTAGTTATGTTTGTAAAAAAATTGCATATATATTTACAGTTTACACAATAGAGTTAATTAAACAAAATTGTTACAACCATTTTCAAACGCTAATAAAAGAATCCACACCCTCCCTCCTCATTACATTGTCATTTTGCTGTCTAATATAAATGTTTTTGTTTAGAGATTAATACAAGATCGAATGATGAATACTGGATATTGGCAGAATAACCCACTTGCAAGACAATCTTACCTAAATTCATCAGTATGAAAATAACTTATTGCTACAATAATCATAGGCGTACCGGGCGGGGGGGCGGGGGGGGGGCGGCAGCCCCCCCAGTTTTTTGGGCAGTCGGGCAATATTCGATCAACAGTCGGGCAATTTCGGTTTGCAATAAAAAAAATGGGACAAATTCTGTAATTTTGTGTAAAAATAAGTAAATTTTTTGGCAAATTTTGTGATTTGTTGAAAATTTGTGTAATGTTCCGAAAAATATTGGTTGTCCGGAAAATTTTTTTGACCCCTAAAATGGTACACTGACCGAAATCTCTACTTTTAGTGAGTTGTTGTGAATATAGGAGGCAATTCACGACACAGTGGCACCTCCGAACGGGATTAATCGTGAGTTAGCTCGAATCAAGAGCAAAAAACCCGTGCTTGTTGTGAAGAATCGACATTGTGAAATAATATATTTTACATATTCTCGAGTATAACATGGATAAACAACTAAACGAACTCGTGAGCAAAGTAAAAGCCCTGAGATTTAGGCAAGGAAAAACCGAAGAAATAATGGCTAATCAAGACCGGCAAGCGTCTGAGCGTCAGCGAGAATCTATTGACAATGTCACCAAAGCGATAATCAATCTTAAAGAGACCGTAGAAGAAAAGAAATTTTCCAAGGGCGAGAGCGAAGAAGACGTCGCAGAATGGGCTAAAGAATACGAAGACGAACTTGCTATAGCGGACGGAAATGTACGAAGATTGGCTCAACAAATTAAAGAAATCGATCGCCGAGAACAACACGAGAAGGCCAAGGCAGTACAAGATCATAAGAAAAACCTTGAATTTGAGCGAGAATTACTCGAGCAAAAAGCTGAATTTGAGAAAGAACGCGAGAAAGAAAAAGCAAGCGAAGCAGAAAATAGCGAACAATGTAAACAAAATTCTGCCGCTATAAATTACCGAAGTTACCTATAACAAAATTTGACGGCAAATTCGAATCATGGTTACCGTTTTGGGGAAAATTTACGTCGGAAATCGAATCAACGAAAATACCAATCTTAACGAAGTTTCCCTACTTACAGTCAATTTCAGCTGACTTTTCATCGTAAGATTCCGAACTTCGTTCCGAACTTCGCAAATTCGTTGCCAAGTTCAAAAGTTCATAATGAAATTCACAAACAGGTTTGTAAACAAAGCCTCTGATTGGCTATTAAATAAAACCAGCCAATCAAATGCCCAGTTTACAAACCTGTTTGTGAATTTCATTATGAACTTTTGAACTTGGCAACGAATTTGCGAAGTTCGGAACGAAGTTCGGAATATTACGATGAAAAGTCAGCTGAAATTGACTGTAAAAGAATTACTTGACGAGTCTGTACGTTGTGACATTGACGGCCAGCCATTTACCGAAGAGGGATACTCAAAAGCCAAAGATATTCTCGAAACCGAATCAGCTGAAGTTGCGCATACATAGTAAATATCACCAATCTAACGGTAATTTCAGGGACAAATCCTACTAAAATACACGATTTCTATAAACAACTCAGATATAACGTTCAAAGTCTTGATACACTTCGCAAATTGGATGATGTGAGAGGAAATGTGCGAGCAACTTTGGACAAGTTAAAGAATAAAGGGAATAAAAGCAGACCTAGTACGCGGAAATGAAGGCTGGCAAGAATGGAGCTTTGATGATCTTCTAAAACAGCTGAAAAAGTGGAAAGATTGTCAATCCGATCGAGGAAAAATCAGAGTCAAGAGATCAACTAAAAGGCGGGAAAGGTTCAAGATCGACGTTTTTCCATGCAAAGGATTCGGGACGCGACACGCGAGAACGAGGTTGTGTGTACTGCGAGGATACCACGCACAAAGGCACGAACTGTCCAAAGGTTGTAACAAGAGAACAAAGAAAAAAAATTCTGGCGGAAAAGAGACTATGCTTCAATTGCACAGGAAGTCAACATCGTGCTGTCAACTGTAAAAGCAAGCTCGGATGTCAGAAATGTAACAAGAAACACCATACTTCAATTTGTGAACAATCAGAACAACTCTTAGTGGCTGGAGGTCATACGAACACGCGCGTTACGCACCCAGTGGTTATAGTCGAAGTTGAAGGTGTTAAGTGCAGAGCCCTACTCGACAGCGGAGCAGGCAGTCCCTACGCGTCGGCAGCACTTTTGGATCGCATTCCAAAGCGGCCGTCCAAGAAAGAAATACGAAAAATTGATATTATGCTCGATATGATATAATTCGACTACGAGGGAAGTCGAATTGTCAACCATTGAAATCAAGGGAACATCGCGTAAATTTTCTATTTTCTAACTTGTGTTCATAGACAATCCGAGATATCAGAACATGATAGAGCAAAACCCACATTTGAAAGGAGTCATCATGGAAGACATTGATCAGAAAGAGCGACTTCCGGTGCACATCATTCTCGGAGCAAGTGACTACGCAATGTTGAAAACTGATCTGCCACCCAGAGTTGGTAAATCGGGGCAACCGGTAGCTGAGTTGACACAATTTGGATGGACCAACATGTCCCCTGGAAAAGAATCCTGCGACGTGACCAATATGCTTTTGACTCAGACGTCCCAGGCTGATTACGAAGAACTGTGTCGCCTTGCATGTCTTGGGTTTGAAAGATACACCCACCAACGACCAGCACAGTGTATTTGACGAGTTCAAAGAACAACTCACCCGGGACCCAGCTGGTTGGTACGAAACAGGGCTACCGTGGGGCGGCAGCCATCCTGTATTACCCAACAACGAAGCTAATAGTTTGCGACGATTAGCAAGTTTAACGAACAGACTCGAGCGGCAAGGTTTGACAACCAAATACGGGGAGATAATGGAGGAACAAAAGGCAGAGGGGATAATTGAGAAAGCTGAACTGCGGAGCGTAGGAAGAGAATTCTACATCCCTCACAAAGCAGTTATTCGACCTGATGCAGAATCCACAAAAATCCGAGTCGTCTATGACGCTTCTGCAAAAGCACATGACGGTGTTCCATCGCTGAATGAGTGTCTACATCCGGGACCTCCATTGCAAAATAGAATGTGGGATGTGTTAGTTAGAGGACGGTTTCATCCAGTGGCTCTGACGGGTGACTTGCAAAAGGCTTTTTTGCAAGAACGTATTCGCGAAAACGACCGAGACGCGCTTCGATTTCACTGGCGGAAAGATCAGCAACCAGAACTGGAGACCTTGAGATTTACCAGGGCACTTTTCGGGCTTGTGTCATCTCCCTTCTTGTTGGGGGGAGTCATTGATGCACACCTGAGTAACTGGGAAGAAAGAGAACCGGAAGTAGTAGCAAAACTGCGTGAAGAGTTGTACGTGGACGATTTGATAACGGGGTCAACATCAGTATCGAAAACGAAAGAAGTTAAAGAGAAAGCAACAACTATTTTCGAGGATGCGGGGTTTAAGCTTCACAGATGGCACTCGAATGAGCGTGAATTAGAGACGACTTAGAGACGACACAGTCTCAAGACGGTGATCCTACCTATGCAAAACAGCAGTTAGAGACCACAGAAGGGGGAGATAGTAGCTTGCTTGGACTTGCGTGGAATAAAGAACGAGATACAGTCGCTGTTACAATGCCCACTGAAAAGACGGTGTTCACCAAACGGGGCGTCTTGGCAAAGCTCGCCAAGATATATGACCCTTTGGGCTTTGTATCTTCTTTAACCCTTACGGGTAAACTTATCTACCGTGCAGCATGTGACACCAAGAACGCCTGGGATGCACCACTTTCAGAAATCCTCGCAAAGTTGTGGAACAAGTGGAACAGTGAACTTCCAGCACAAGTGGAAACTGAGAGATCTTTGGCAGTTTATCAAGAGCCAATTGAAGCCATCCAACTGCATTCCTTTGGAGATGCGAGCGGTAACGGCGTGTCTATGCCGTAGTTGAGCAAGATTCGGGGACCAACCAAGGCCTAGTCGCGGCGAGATCAAGACTACCGAAGCGAGGATTAACGATTCCAAGGCTTGAACTGGTAGCGGCGCATATTATATATAGCAACTTGGCTTCAAATGTAAAGGAGGCATTGATCGGATTTCCGGTTACGAAAGTTCAATGTTGGTCGGACAGCTCGGTAGTTCTGCATTGGGTTACGGGGGGCGGGCAATTCGAAAGGATGATTGGGCTCGTGAAAGCAGCGTTAAGCAAGACCATTGGAAACGGTTTCCTACGATGGAACGAGTTAGAGGAAGTATTGCTTGATGTCGAGGTGGCGTTAAATAACCGTCCATTATCTTACGTGGAGGATGACGTGCAATTTCCAGTGTTAACGCCAAATTCGATGTTGTTTCTAAATAGTAATATTTTACCCGAATTGCAACCACATAATATTGAGGACGGTGACCTTAGAAAACGAGCGAAACACTTGATGAAATGCAAAAAAGCGCTTTGGAGACGGTGGACCCAGGAATATTTGCGTAGCCTTCGTGAGAGACACCGTTCGAAAGCAGAATGTAGTGGAGCAGTGCCAACGGTAGGAGATGTAGTGATTATTGCGACAGATGAGAGAAAACGTGGTCGTTGGCCGTTAGGAATTGTCGAAGCACTGATTGTGGGAAAAGATGGAAAAATCAGGGGAGCCAAAGTACGTACAGAAGTCTCAAATGGAGCGTGCCGTGCAGCATTTGTACCCACTAGAGGTCTCGGTTGACAAGAAAGAACCAGTACCGGCAATACTCAACCCGAAAGCGGAGACATTTAGACCGAAGCGGGATGCTGCAGTGGCGGCCAAATTGCGTGTTCAGGAGATCGCGGAGGATGAACAATAGACTCAATTTCAAGTGAACATTTGGACACTGAACTGTGAACAGTCAGAACGATTTAGAAATATATTGATGTTGACATTTTAGTACAGTTGTATCATTGGTCAATCTCCAGGTGTATTGGACGACATTTATCTCAAATAGTAGATAAATGGGGGGAGAGTGTTGGAGATTGTCAATATTTAATATTTAACAGTTTATGGCATACCTGAAGTTAATTAATGCGCAAGTGTCAATCAAAAAAGCATGCGGTTTGTACATTGCAAGGACTTTGTGTGATTGTGTTGAGACGGGGCGAGAATAAATATATTTTTCATAATAGCGTTTGAAATCTCTACTTTTAGTGAGTTGTTGTGAATACAGGAGGCAATTCACGACAAGGACATAGTTTCAAAACTTCGAATTTGTAGTGAAATCCCAAGCTTTTACAATTGGTTCCAACCATCATTAATTACACGAACGACATGATCTTTGCGATAGATCGTGCACATTGCTAGCCAACTCTTATTTTCGTACAACTCACATGCCTATATGCCACTGTTAGGATAATTCAGTGGCGGACACTTCGCAAAATATTAGCGGGGGGGGGGGAGGGGAGCAGGGATCATTAAAGTGGGGACCGCTGGGACTGACGTCGCAAGTACATTTCAGAAACAACTACTTGCAGGCAAATTTTGTAAAACATTTGAAACCATAAGTTATAAGATAAATCTATAAATCTATAATTCTTATTTTATTATGTATTTAATGATCTTTTACTATTTGATTGTAGTTAATGTTTATTGGGAAAAAAATATATAAAGCCATAACTCATAAGGCAGTCTACTAATCGCGGGATCTATTGTAATTCATGGCTGATTATTATTTATTATTTTATTATTAAACTGGTTTAAAATATCGCATACAATAACACAAAGCTAAATTACTATGCAATTTACAAAGATTAGTTACTAGATAAAACTGATGGCTTATTGCGTCGTGATTTCGCATCTTGAATGAAGATATTTTGCAGGCACATTTTCAAATAATTTTTGCGGTCACAGGCACACAAAAAAGTTAACGACCCCTGGGAGGAGAATTTACGTTGCGACTATATGACTACTTCGTTCTATTGCTGGAAATCGTAGTTCTGTAAACTTTTTTGCCTTAAATTTCATGAAATGTGGACTCAAACTATAGCCTATACTACTACGTTTTCATGGTCGAAAAATAATTGTCACAGCTTTGTTACAGTTATTCAGCTATCATTCAAAGGTTTTCAAAGAGGGGAGGTTACCCCACACCCTCCCCCTAGTGCCTGCCACTGGAATTATTTAAACATATACTGTCTAGTGGGGGGTTTTAGACGTCATTTTACATTTGTATTAATTTTTCAACCATATATTACCTTCTTTAATAACTGCCACAGTGGTTCCTCGATTTGATGAAATAGAAATAACTCGTAACTTTTCTTGGAATTTCACTAACGTCGGTTCACTTGTATTATCCTCGTTCCCAGTACCCAGTCTACCACGCGCACCTTTTCCCCAGGTATAAATTTCGTTGTCTGAAATAATATTAATTGCTGTGAGCTCTTTACAATGCAAAATGCCACTTTAATGGCCTACTTTCACCCCAAACCATTTTTGGTCCGGAATCTAGATTTTTCAACCAAGGCGGAAACCTAAATTATCTCATGTCTCCTCAACAAAAGTAACCAAAAGTGCTAGGACTACATATCGAGAAACCAAAGACATGAAGAATTGCAATATGTCTTGTATTCAAAGGTATGTACATAGATTTCTAGGGTGGTGAATCCATCTAACACTATCACACTATATCTAAATGCAATAAGTGAAGAAATTGTCAACGCACTTGATGATTTAATTATGGTTTATAGAAACTCTTTCGCAGTTACAGAGACTGAATTACAGAGTTTATATATTTACAATTTAATAGTATAACTATATGATATAATGCAATAAAAACTAGTACAGTTTTATCCAAATAATCTATATAAAATCTAACTTTAGTTTGCAATAAAAATAGTGAAAACAGGCTTCAAAAAGGTTTATTAAAATGTTAATAATATTTGAAAGTAAAAAAAGTTTTCTGTCTTTTCTGTTTAGGTAAAAACGTTTTCTGTCTTTTAACGCATGTAAGGGATGATTTGTTCTTTTCATTTTACTCATGTATTTTTTACATATGCTGATTCTCCTATCGGCTAGATTGTCAATCCCACGGCTAACTGTAGAGCTTCTAGGTATGTTTCAGCAGATGGGAAAATTATTTTCAGGGCTCTTTTCTGTATTGTTTCAAGTTTATCAGACAGAATACCTGGTATGGCATACTCCAAGACCGGTCGAATAATAATTAGATTCCCACTTTTTCTTGTTAGTGCCGACTCTTCTTGGGGTGCCCCCCCCCCCCCCCTCCCCCTCCCCCCAAAAATATCTGTCTATGCATAAGGCTCTAAATTGTCCCAAAAATTAAAAACTATGTACAACGACTCGAAATTTTCGAAAGCCCAAACTCGTACTAAGTTCAAACACAATTTGTAGTTAGAAACGTTTCTAATCTGTTATGAACAGGATTACAGTACATCGAGCTACCTGCTGTAACAGCAACTGTAAACGTATCTCCGCAAGCGATGTGACTAATAAGTTTCTCTTCCAGCGATTTCACGAGACAAGGGCGAGGATCTGAAGCACGTTTAGGAAAACCGAGTTGACCAAATGAGTTAGAGCCACATGTGTAACATTTTCCTTTTTCTTAAAAAAATATAAAGAAACAGTTTCAGTAGATACACTCAAAGAGTCCCTCATGTTAGTTTTGAAACGCGAGTGACGTCATTATAGATGTTATTATAGTAATATAGTTAAATCTAAGACGCACGCCTCCGGGCTTCTAGCTATTGCGTGACACAGGGAGCCATGGGCGTACCGGAAGGAAAAAATAGGGGGGGGGGAATGAAATTTGCCCGACTTTTCGGGATTCTGCCCGACTAGTAGCCAAAAAATTTGCGACAAAATTTACAGAATTTGTCCCATTTATTTTTTTTATACACCAAAATTGCCCGACTGTTCATCCAATATTGCCCGACTGCCCAACAAACTGGGGGGGGAGGGGCTACCGCCCCCCCCCCCCGACCGGTACGCCTATGCAGGGAGCTTTACTCGAGCATAATTAGTTACTGTGAACGCTGTTGCGAGAACAACTGCTAGGCATTTAGCCATATCTACAAATCTATCTACGTCGAATCTACGGTGAATTCGGACGCAATTCTTGGTGCGTGTGTAAACCAAAGTGAGTTTAACTTTTATATTTTATTGTGTCATCATTGCGTTACTTAGACAATGGCTAGTATGTGTTTGCATGAATCATCATTTAGTTTGTTTATTGCATGGAACCTTTTATAAGCAGCATCGAACTGTTTAGCATAATTGCATGTGCATGAAACGATATTATTACTTGTATGAATTGCTAAATGTTGTAGTTGCGTGTCGTATAGATAATCACGCGATATATTTAGTATAGCTATTGTTATTGTCATCATGTTCTCTAGTTCGAACCTACTCCACGCTATTCCACGCTACTCTACGTTATTCTACTCCAGTCCATCACCTATATCGTCTACCTAGTCTATCGCGTACCTAGAATATGGCGTTCCGTTCCGGTCAAAATTATTTCAAGTCAACAAGTTATAGTCAAACATTATATCAACATGTTATAACTCTCAATATAATGTTGAAAATATCAAGATGAAGTTCAAACTCAAAAAAATAAAACGAAAGTTTAAAGCATATACTTCAAAACTGCAAAATATATTTCAAACCTCAAAGGATATACATGAAAATTAAACGCAAGTCCAAACTTTTATTTATAATACGAAACTCCCAAATGATAAGTCAAAGCCGCGGCTCATAAAAATAAATCGAAAAGTCAAAAATATAAATCGAAAGGAAACGGAAGTAAGCAACTTAACTAGAGGAAGTCAGGAAACGGAAGTTAACCACAAACATTGCTAAGCTCGTCTTTTAACAATAACATTCGCTATGATTCAACCGAATATTTTTCTCAATGCTTAAAATCCTCTAGAGCAACAACTTTTGTCAGATATGCGCATCCTTCAAGTGATTGTTCGTCGTCAAAGGGAAACATGCGAAAGATGCGAATTTTGGTGTGGGAAGACAAAGACTGGACGTCTGACAACAGGCCATCTAAACTTTAATTCTCCAAGTTGGACTTTCCTGAGCAGAAATTACAAGAAATTTTCGGTATCTGAGAGTGCAATACGACGACGTCGACGTTAATTTTACTTTGTCTCCGCTATATACGAACAGGGAATCACTCAATCACATTCTACGATAAGGGACAATGATCTTGATCTACTTGTTCGTGGTATCTCACAAGTATCACCCAGGATCATCAGGCTATAGATTAGTACAAGAATATTTATCTCGTAAACATCCAGACGGCGAGCAAGATATTCGGTTGAATCATAATATAATATAATGTAATTGTTACTGTAAAAGACGAGGTCAGCAATGTTTATAAAGAGAGAAATAATTCGTCAGTTTCGAAATCTTTAACTTTTTAATATCGACATACGTAAATATCTCAGCGCGTGTTCACCCCCCTTTAAAACAAAGAATACCATTCGCTGGCTTCTTGGTTAACTTCCGTTTCCTGACTTCCTCTGTATTAAGTTGCTTACTTCCGTTTCCTTTCGATTTATATTTTTGACTTTTCGATTTATTTTTATGAGCCGCGGCTTTGACTTATCATTTGGGAGTTTCGTATTATAAATAAAAGTTTC